GGTTTCGAGGTGCGGGCCTGGGTTGGGCTTTTGGCCAATTTCGGACTTTTGATTCAAGATTTGATCTTTTTCGATCGGGATTGGTTCCTTTAGCTTTATTTGATGTACTTGAGTTGTTTTTGGTTAGTTTCGAGCCGTTCGGAGGTCGGAACGTGCGAGATGGCATCGTTGGAGCACCACTTGGCTTGTTCGGCAGTGACATTGACTTGTTTGAGGTAATTAACTCTTCTAATCTTAGTGCTGAGGGTATAAAATCCCTAAATACGTGTTACATGATTGGTATTGAGGTGACGCACATGCTAGGTGACGGGCGTGTGGGCGTGCACTATGTGAATTGGGACTCTGTTGTTTCCATGTATAGTGGTCCTACTTTGTTGATATCCGTGTTTTCATCATGTGATAAAGTAGTTAAGCTTTCAATCATGCTAGATATCATGTTTAGGCATTTTGCCGATATTGTTTGGACCCATAGTGGTCGTTTCTTACGGTCATCTCACCGATTTTATTGATATTTCGTACTCAGTCATATTCATGCATTCATATCATATCTCAGTCTTAGTTATTTATAGATACATCATATCATTGTTGTCGGGCTAGTTTCATGACATTGTGAGCCCGTGAGTGAGACTGGAGAGATTGATGATTGAGTGAGGTCGGGGGCCTGTTTGTGAGGATGTTGTCATTATAGCACGTGAGTTATCCGTGCGATTCCAGATATTGATATTAAGGCACGTGAGTTGTCCGTGCGGATTATAGCGCTTGGGATGAAAGGAGCCCCTCCGGAGTCTGCACACCCCCAGTGAGCGCAGTCGACTATAAATAGGGATCGGGCTGCATGCCGCAGCGGGTTTGGTATAGCGTTGAGTGTTTGAATGTACTGAGCATAGTGAGAGAGAATGCGAGACAGTGAGATTGAGTACTCTGAGAGTGTGAGTACATGAGCTCATCATCGAGATGCATTGCATTTGACATGCGTACTTGAGATACATGCATAGAGGTGCATTTTCTTCTGCTACCCAGTTTTGGGGACATTTATGATTTTACCAGTATCTTGACATGTAGGCATAGAGAAGTACCTTCCTCATACTATCTGAAAATGAAACATCTTACTATTTGTTGAAAGGAGTTTTGGGAAAAAATCACAATTTTCAAACTTACTCGTATATTGGCTTTTCGGTAAAAGATTTGGATTTTCATTGAGATACTTGAAAAGAAATGCCTATTTTTCTGGAACTGTGAACGAACTGAGCCTTTTATTTCTGAGATACTCGTTTGTTACTTGTACTATGCTGTTATGAACTGTTGTGGAATATTGGTGCTGGACCCGATCCCTTTTTGTTAGCTCGTCACTACTTTCAACCTAAGGTTATGTTTGTTACTTATTGAGTACATGGGGTCGGTTGTACTCATACTACACTTTTGCACCTTGCGTATAGATATTGGTTGCTGATGTTGCTGTGTTCGATGGGAGCTGGATTGAAGATGTACCTGCGTTCCAGTTGTAGCTGCCTCTTGTTCGTGGTAGCCTTAGATCTATAAAACTCTGTTTATGTACTTTTCAAACAGACTATGTATTTATTTCATTTCGGCTTTGTAAACTCTATTCTTAGAAGCTCATAATTTTTACTACCAATTCTTGGGGAATGTATTAGATTCAGATATTTTTTTACTTAATTACTTTATTAATTATTATTAAAATTGATTAGTGGTTAATTGGCTTACCTAACGGGTTGGGTTAGGTGTCATCACGACTAGTCGGATTTTGGGTCATGACAACATGAGCCGTGGTCAAGATAGTGACGGTTATCGTAATCAAGATGTCAGCAAGGGTCGAGGTCGAGATCGACTACTGATGATAAGACATGTAACGGCTAATTTATCAAGATAGGGTATTAAAAGGGAATATTCTAGTGAATATTCATTGCATTTGTACTATTAGAATTTCCTAGAAAAAAGACCCCATATATATAGAAAGAGGGGACAATGATAGGGGCATGTAATATTGATTCTGATAAGAACACTTTCGAGAAGAGGACTTTCCCTCCGGCAAAAACACAAAGATTACCTTTTTACAAAGATTCTTATTCATATTGTTCCCCACTTTCCATCAGATCCGAGGACCGTTTATGTGAATCTTGGATCTATCTGTCATTCATCACTGTCAAGCAATATATTCGTCCAACTCATCTATTATTGGGTGAATCTTTCTCTTTATTTACTTAAATACTATTTGTTGACATTTATTGTTGTCTATATCTCCCTTAATGTTCTTGCTTTAAGAGAATTCAATATTTACTGTCACTAACCACATACGAAATCTGTCCCATCTAATATACATCTTTGTGCTTAACATCTAGAGTTATTATTCTTAACTATATCTAACCCCTCATTATATAAATTTAATAGTTTAGCCGGAAATTATATTTTTTGGTCAAATAGATGGCAAATACAAGAAGATACTTAATGAAACATTTTCCTCCTTACATTTATATAAAACTGAGATAGGACGAATGACGTATTATATATGCCGCTAAATGTCACAAATTCAAATGCGAACATTCATTTGATCATTTTTTGTCCTGACTCCTGTCCATGTAGCAGTCCACCCTCTACACGGGTTCCAGTGACGAGGATCTTTTTGGCATTCCTATCTAGAGTAAGAGAAATACTAGTTTCTTTGGATATTTCCCCCCTTCAACAAAATTAAGGATTTGTGAACGGATTTACGTGCTACATCTCTATGTGTCTTAAATAATGTGACAAAATAATAATTGACTTAAATTAAAATTCAAAATGATGTTAAATATTAGAAAAAAGTGTGTTAGACTTAGAAGCATGTAAATAAGAATACCTCTTAACTTAAAGACTATAGATCCTTCTATTTTGGGAGGAATAAAAAAAAAAAGTAAGAATACCTCACAACTAACTAAATCTATTAGTGATCTATCTTTAAATGGATGTTCAAACAATCCATCAACAAATTTGACTCTCAAGATTCTTTCAACAACATCATCTATCCTGCTCATCATATTTTCCCAGAGCAGATCCCCCAAAAATAATTCATATCTAATTGGAACTATAACTAGCAAATATTCCCAAAATGCTAATGGCCATCTCATGAATTAGGCTAAAAAGCTGTTATTTTTTGCTTCTAATACAAGGTTCTAATCCTACCATATCAATTTCAGTATTAATGATTATCTTGATTGAATTACGATAATCTGTTTCACAAGGATCATCAAGTTGGTCAAGCGCTTCCTAGTCTGAAATCACGAGAATCTGCACCAAAATATTATTCTATTTTCTTTCTGTATTATAGAAACAGAAATGAAGAAGAAGAATAAATCCAAGACCACCTTGAAGCCCTCTCTTAATATCCGAGGTTTAGGATTATTTCCTCCTATAAATTAATGGATTAACCTCACCGGTATAATAGTACTTCAAACACTAGTGTTCAACGAACTCAGAAGTCGACAACAAATCATACTTACTTTTTGTTAGAAAATGATGTACAAAAGGAAGAAGGAAATTCAGAATTTTTGTAAGAAAAATATGAGACAATGACCAGGTGTTTCGAGTCAACAGAGAGTTAAAATGAAGAGTTGTAACTTTTTCTTTCGGGCTACAACTCAAAAGTGGATATCTGCGAAAATGACTATTTACAAAAGCCGAATGTTTTCGAAAAACTAAAATGGAGAGAAAAACAAATGACCTTTATGAAAACGACATTAATATTAACAAAGTAAAGTAATATTTATTGATTTAAAAAATTAATCAATTAATTGACCAAATTCAAATCAGAGCCGAGTGACGACTACGACACTAGACTTGCCTTCTTCTCAACTTCTTAAGAACTAGAACAAGTGCATTTGTATTTAAAACCAACAAATTTTCTTTTCTCCTCCGATATGAAAAAATATTCCTTTGTAAAATAATCTTTTTTACAAAGCTTATCTTCCAATACCTCTATCAGAAGATAGCGATGAGTATGCAATTTGTCGCCCCAGCTGGAGTAAGATGCCATAACAGTGCAAACTCCTTGGGCAATACAGTCTACATATGGTGTATGTGGATATCATTTCTTTTTGTGTTGTCTACAATTCGGCCGGTCGTTTTGTATATTTGAGCCTCATTTTTCTAATTGATTCTTTTCATATGTGTATTTAGAACACTTAGTCTTATTTTGAATGCTTAAGTTAGAAGAATTGACCAAGATTTGACTTTTGAGTAAACGATCTTAGATTGGTGATTCGATGGCTCTAATAGGTTTATATGATGATTTTAGACTTAGGAGTATGTTTTGATTTAGATTTGGAGGTTCCTAAAAGGTTTTGTCTCCATTTACCGAAAGTTGGCAATTTGAAGAATTGGAGAGTTCATAGGTTTAACCAAAAGTTGGCTTTGATGTTATCGGATTTTGATTGGTGTTACGGGGCTTTATATAGATTCATTTAGATGATTGGAACTTGTGCATTAAGTTTGGTTGTGATCCGAATTGTCTAAGTATGATTCAGACGCGTTCGACGAAACTGAAATGCTTGGAAGTTAAGAAATGGATTTTGATCTTTGATTCTCGATTTTGATATTATTTGTGGTGTTTTGAGCCTTTGAATAAGTTTGAATAAGGTATTCAGACTTGTTGGTATGATTGGACGTAAGCCTGGAGGGCTCGAGTGTGATTTAGGGTGGTTCCGGACTACTTTGGTGTGTTTGGTAATTTTCTGGTGTCTGGTGAGATGCACCTGCAAGGAATTGGGCGCAGGTGCGAAGGTTGCACCTATGGATGGTGCTGCGCATTTGCGAGGTTTGATTGCACCGTTAGGTTTTATTATTATAATGATCGTTTCATATTCCCTTAATTGTGGCGTGAATTGGACGTGATCAATTTTTGGTGTTGTTGAAGGGGAGTTTACGGTGTTAGCTATATACTTGAATTTGTTTCTTAAGTATCTTCGTTTACTTTTGTAATTCTAACTTGTTGAAGTGATTGTAGGATTTAAATGGCGAACAACAAACTTGAATATATACCATTGGTAGAGGTGGATGGCGAAGCGGAACAATTTGATGAAATGCCAAAAGTTTCACAACAAAACCGCCGAGGCCGTGGGCAACAAGACAATGTGCCTCCACCTCCCTCACCTCCACCACCACCACAACCACAAGCGGTGCAACACGAAACTTTTTCCCAATAAAGGATATGGAAGTGTCATGGCCCCCCTCGCATTAGGGCGGGCAACTTTCAAATTACCAATGTGATGCTCACTTTGCTCGAGCAACAAGGTTATTTCACCGGGGCGCCGACTCAAATGCTTACAAGCATTTGAAAGATTCCGTAGATACGTGTTGGAGAAGCATACAAATAAATATTTCGGAAGATGCATTAAGGCTTTTTCCCTTCTCACTAAGGGGTAAGGCTTTGGATTGGTTGGAACACTTACCTAATCATTCTATACATATATGGGATGAATTGGCGGCGAAGTTTATTTCAAAGCTCTTCTCTCCCAGGTATATGACAACTCTACGGGATGAAATATTGGCTTTCAAACAAGAGCTCAATGAACCTTTGCATGAAATTTGAGAGCGGTATCGAACTATGGTGAAGGAGTGACCGAACAATGATATGACCGACAACATGATCCAATAAAATTTCTATCGTGGTATTAATACCACAAATCAATGTGTGGTCAATCAATTGGCTGGAGGCAATTTTATGGCAACATCTTATGCAGAGGCATGTGAGATTCTTAATGAGATGGATGAAACTTCTTCGGCTGGGTAATCCCGAGCTAATATTGCCCAAGGTGATCCCAACATGATTCACCTTCTTAAAAAATTACAAGACCATGGGCAAGCTATTGCCGAATTGGCAACAACCATGACTCAACTCGCTAAGGCTCAACTTCATCAAACTTAAGCTCCTAAGCAAATTCATGCTATGGAGGGGGTGAGTGTTTTGGCCAACAAGAAGAGGACTATAGGTTCCCACTTTCAAACCCAGGTGGAGATTTATGCACATGATGATGGTGGTTATGATCAAGATAACTCTTATCAAGAGCAAGGAGAAAGGTATAACTTTTGAACAATTACCAAACGGAGTTCGGGTTTTCAAAGACCCTCAATGTACCAACAATCGAGCGACCCACCTCCCTATCCTTCTCACGGTTCATGTTCTTCAAGCAATAAAATGGGACGTATTGAGAACATGTTCAAGCAAATGATGGAAAAAAGCGGATTCAGATGCCTAACTTGTCTCATATACCATATCAATACGTAATCTTGAAGTTAAAATGGTGAAAATCTCTCAAGCTCTTAATACTCGTCCTAATGGTGCATTACCAAATGATACGGTGGTGAACCTAAAGGGTGGTAATAACACGGGGCATACTATAGCAATTATCACATGAAGTGAAAAAGGTGGGAATGCACTCATCTCCGATGAAAAGCAACTTGTAGAGATGACCAAATGTCCCAAGAAGAAGAAGTCCCACAAAATGAAGTTCACTTGCATGATGACATTCGGATTGATATTAATGATAGTATGGAAGAGACCCGAGAGGAGGTGAACCTGTCTAGGGAACACATCATTAACATGCCGGATCCGATAGTGCAAAAGGCTAAGGAACCCTTGCCAAAGACCTCCACCTCCTTACCCTCAAAGTCTCGCTAAGCAAAATGGTGAGAATAAATTAAAAAGTTCATTCAAATGATGAAAAGTCTCTATATTAATGTGCCATTGGTGGAATCTTTGGAATAAATTCACGGTTATGACAAGTTTATGGAATATCTTGTTACTAAGAAGAGGTCGATGAACTTTGAAACGATCAAGGTCACTCATCAAGTGAGTGCAATTGTCCATTCCATGGCTCTTAAGTTGGAAGATCCCGTCGCTTTAACCATTGCGTGTACTATTGGAAGTGTCGATTTTTCTAAAGCTCTTTGTGGTCTTGGGGTAAGTATCAATTTGATGCTCTATTTGGTGCTCAAAACTTTAGGGATTGGGAAATCAAGACCTATATCTATGAGGTTGCAAATAGTTGATCGTACGATAAAAAAACCGTTGGGTGTGGTTGAAGATGTATTGGTCCGAGTTGATAAATTTATTCTCCCGGCAGACTTTGTTATTGTTGATTGTGAAGTTGATTATGAAGTGCCTATAATTCTTGGGAGGCCTTTCCTTGCTACAGGTAAGGCCTTTTGTGATGTTGAAGCCGGAAAACTCACTTTCCGGGTTGATGATGAACAAGTGGTATTTCATATGTGCAAGTTTATGCGCCAACCAAATAGCAGTGAGGTGTGATCTTTTGTGGATTTGGTGATCGATGTCATTGTTGATGATACTAGTACTACAATCAATGTTGGTGACATGTTGGAAGCCGTTTTGCTCAACTTTGATGATTATGAGACAGATGGTTTCATGGAATGTGTGAATTCATTGCAAGGAATGGGGTCTTACAACTATGCACCTCGAAAGTTATCATTAGATCTTGAGAATAGGAATACTCCTTCTTTAACTGAAGAGCCACCTACCTTGGAGTTGAAGCCATTGCCACCTCATATTCGATATGAATTTCTTGAACCCTTTTCTACTTTACCAGTTGTTCTTTTCTCTTGTTTGACTAATGTACAGGTAGATTCCACACTGGCAGTCTTACAAAGGAGGAAGAAAGCTATTGGATGGACTTTGGTGGATATCCGGGGTATAAGCCCCAAATATTTCATGCATAAGATCAAGTTGGAGGATGGTACTAAACCGTCCATTGAACATCAAACAAGACTCAATGAGGCTATGCAAGAGGTGGTCAGAAAGAAGATTATCAAATAGTTGGATGCAGGGGTTGTCTATCCCCTTTTCCGATAGCTCATGAACTTCTCCGGTCCAATGTGTCCCTAAGAAGGAGGCATGACGGTTGTTAGCAATGATAAGAATGAGTTGATATATACATGAACGGTCACTGGTTATAGAGTTTATATGGATTATCGTAAGCTCAAAATAGTCACAAGGAAGGACCACTTTCCTCTCCCTTTCATGGATCAAATGATTGATAGGTTTGTTGGTCGTGCCTTCTATTGCTTTCTTGATGGTTACTCGGGCTACAACTGAATACTTATTGCACCAGAAGACCAAGAGAAAACCACCTTTACATGTCCATATGGTAATTTTGCTTTCAAGCAGATGCCTTTTGGATTGTACAATGCACTAGAGACTTTTCAATGGTGTATGATGGCTATCTTCACTGACATAGTGGAAGACTACCTTGAGGTCTTCATGGATGACTTTACGGTAGTTGGGGATTCATTTGATGATTGTCTTGCTAATTTGGATAAGGTGTTGGCTAGATGTGAGGAAATAAATTTGGTACTCAATTGGGAGAAGTGTCATTTCATGGTTGAGTATTGTCCTTGGCCCCTGCCTCGGTGGATAAGGCGAAGATTGAAGTTATTTCTAAGCTTCCACCCCTGCCTCGGTGAAGGGTGTGAGGAGTTTCTTGTTCCATGTAGGATTCTACCGGCGATTTATCAAAGACTTTTCTAAAGTGGTGAACCCTTTGTGCAAACTCTTCGAGAAGGATGTCAAGTTCCATTTCAATGATGATTGTATGGCAACTTTTGAACAATTGAAGCTCAAGTTGACAACTACTCCTATCATTATATCTCCAAATTGGAGTTTGCCATTTGAGATCATGTGTGATACAAGTGATGTAGTGGTTGGGGCTATTTTGGGGTAATGTATCAACAAAGATTTTCACTCAGTCTACTATGCTAGTAAGACCATGAATAGCGCCCAAGTCAGCTATACTGTTACGGAGAAGGAGCTCCTTGCCATTGTGTTTTTTATTGAGAAGTTCCGTCCATGCTTGATGAGTGCCAAAGTTATTGTTCACACGGATCATGCGGCACTCCGCTATCTTATAAGCAAAAAGGAATCTAAAACCCGTTTGATGAGATGGGTGCTTTTGTTGTAAGAGTTTGATATTAACATCCAAGACAAGAAGGGAAGTGAAAATCAAGTGGCAGACCACTTGTCTCGTTTGAAGAGGAGGGGAGGCCACATGATGGCCTTGAGATAAATGACTTTTTTCCCAATGAGAAATTCTTGGTACTTTCAATGAAATAGGTACCATAGTTTGCGGATTTGGAAAATTTTCTTGTGAGTGGTATCATTCCGGAAGAGTTCACTTCAAACCAAAGGAACAAAATATAGAGGGACTGTAAAGACTACTATTGGGTTTAACCGTACCTTTTTCAAATTTTCACAAATATGGTAATTAGAAGATGTGTGACGGAAGAGGAACAAAGTGATATTCTTGGAGCTTGTCATTCTTTACCCTATGGTAGTCACCATGGTGGATCAAGAATGGCGGCTAAAGTCCTAAGTTGTGTTTTTTATTGGCCTACTCTCTACAAAGATGCAAATAAGTTTATGAGAAGATGTGATGAATGTCAACGGGACGGGAAAATTTCAAAGAAATATGAGATGCCCCTAACAACCATCTTGGAGATTGATATTTTTTATGTTTGGGGCATTGAATTCATGGGCCCTTTTGTGAGTTCTTGTAGTAATGCCTATATTTCGGTCGTGGTGGATTATGTGTCTAAATGGGTTGAAGTCGTTGCGTTACAAGGTTTTGGACTCCTCAGGCAATTATAAGTGATGGAGGGTCGCATTTTTACAACAAGGCTTTTGACATTTTGCTTGGCAAGCATGGTGTCTCTCACAAAGTGACAACTCCATATCATCCATAATCAAGTGGTCAAGTGGAAGTTTCCAATCGAGAAATAAAGAGTATCTTGTCCAAGATGGTGAATGCAAATCGGTCGGATTGGTCTAAGAAGCTTGATAATGCTCTATGGGAATATAGAGCGGCTTAGAAAATACTTATCGGAATGTCTCCATATCGGTTGGTGTTCGAAAACGCTTGTCATCTCTCGGTAGAATTAGAGCACAAGGCATGTGGGACTTGAAGAAACTAAATCTTGATTGGGATGTATCTGCTAAGTTGCTGGTTATACATTTGAATGAATTGGATAAATTCTGGTATCATGTATATGAGAGTTTGTCCTTGTACATAGAAAAGATGAAGTACTTTCATGACAAGTAAATTTGGAACAAGGAGTTCAAGGCCGGAGATCTAGTGTTGTTGTTCAACTCAAGGTTGAGACTGTTTCCCGAGAAGCCTAATTCAAAGTGGAGTGATCCGTTTAAAATTATTGGTGTGACACCCTTTGGTGCTTTGGACATGAAGAACAAGAATAATAAAATATTTCGAGTCAATGGTCACCAAGTGAAGCATTAATTGATTAAAGTTGGTGAAAGCCATGTGGTCGCGGTTATTTACTTCAATTAAGGATGCTAAGATATTACGTCATGCCACGACGTTAAATAGGCGCTTCTTGGGAGGCAACCCAAGTTCTGTTCCGTTTTCTATTCTAGTTTAGGTGTTGTTTATTATTTTTTAAGCTATATTTAAAGTGTGTTGCAGTGATCAATGTTAGGTATTGGGAGATGTCTGAAGATGTGGCTTGCATGGGAAACTGCAGACCGCACTTTTATTTGTGTGTCCACAAAAAAAGGAAATGCGGATAGCAGAAAATTGATGGCGATTGCAGATTTTGACTGCGGACTACACTTGCAAAAGGCAGATCAGGTTCTAAAATGAGGGTTCTCTGAACTTTTCTCCCAACAGAGCGGAGCCATCTTTGTGGCCTATCAGATAATTTTGCGATTGCAGGAGAGCACTTTCAGAGAAGTCACTGAAACTAGGTTTAAAGAAGTGCGGTCGCACTTGAAAAGTGCGGACCGCACAACTACATGCTCTCCACCGCCCCGGTAACAGAGTGCGGACCGCATTTGGAATTTCGCGGCCGCACTTACCCTCTCTTTAACCTAGCCCACGCGGAAGTATAAATAGAACAATAGGTTTTCATTTTACACTTTTCGCTATTTTCACCCTCTGACTGAGATTCTACTGAGGAATAATTTGCTTTCACATTTGAACACACACAGCCACCCACTCCATTCGTTCTAATCACACTGTCATAATCTGGTATGCATCACTTCAATCTTATTATTATTATTTTGAATCTTTTTTTTGCTTTTTAACTTATTTTTAGGCCATCTATAATAACATCTCATATCTATGTTCATGTAAGGTAGTTTAAGAATGGGTATTCGTGAAATCATGCTTAGATGGGGTTGGGTCTGTTGCTATCATGCCTTTACCTTATTACCCAGTTGGATTGAACACATAATTGCATAACCTAGGTGGAAAACAACCTTCGCCCTTAAATGTTCTTGATTGTGCGGACTGCATTTGAAATTTTGGGGACCGAAATTGGTGATTTAGGTAGCATGGTTGATACCCCTAGTTATGCGGCAATAACTTATTTGTGCGGCACTTGAAATTTTGCGGCCGCAAAGAGAGGTCCACACTGTCCTTTAGAAAACTTCTTCTCTAGGACATGAGTACTTTTACTCAAGTGCTGACCACAGTTGGATTTCTGTGACCGCATTTGCATGTTCACACTGTCCTTCAGAGATTCCTCTATGAAGGTTTGATACATCTGTGCAGAAGCGGCGCCGCACTTGGATTTCTGTGGACCGCACTTTCTTTTTGCGTACCGCACAATGAACTCCATATTGTTCCTATGCTTTCTTGTACTGCTAATATGACTCTTGACTGCTTTGTACCTCAACTCAATAATTGACAACTCTCTTTGTGCATAACAGATAATGGTACGATCAAGAGGAAAGGGGGAGACATCCAAAGGAAGGGGTGACTAAGGAAAGGACAGAGGAAGAGGTGCCAAACACCCTAGTGTACAGAAGGAAATTGCCAAGAAGAAAACTGCTGGGCGATAGAGAGGTAAAGGCCTCTTCGATTCTGATTCTTATGTCCCGTCTAGGGAAGCCTCCGAAGGCAACTCATTGTCCCAGTCTAAAGAGTGCAATGAGGAGCAATCCCAGCCACATGGGCAGTCTGATCCCTAAGCTGAGCCTTCCATATCTCAGAGCACCTTCCAAGCCACAACTAGTACTAGCCATGAGTCGAATGTAGCTGCACCAGACTCTGATTCTGATGATGCCCCCGATGACGAAAAAGGGAAAATGTTGCAAGGGGTGGCATAGTAAGGACAAAGAAGAAGATGGTCTGGGAAGACCGGCTCTTGAGCTTCAACGCTTATATGGACTTCAGAAGGTGGTGAAAAGAAAGGTCCCTAACTCATAAAAGTCAATTCCTTACCAAGGACTTAAACAAGTACAAACCGGTGGTCCTCGAACAATTTACGAAGAGAAAA